AAAAAAAAAAAAAGAAAAGAAAAGCATAGTGCACTCCAAGCCTGCAATTTACTCAGGGTGCTGCCAAGAGGCCGGGCGCCCGCCCGGTGTGAGGTCCCCGCCTGTCTGACCATGGTCCGGAAGTGACCATTCCGTCGGGGCCCTGGACACCCAGCTTTCACCCGGGGCTGTGGGCATATTGATATTTTTAAGGGCACGGATGGAAGTATATAAAACACCTTTGGTTCTCCAGTGCTTGGTGCGATGTGATGTGACGACAGCTTCCACTGAAATCTGCTTTCAGTGACAAACCAAGTTGAAGTACAGTGGACCGTTGAACAACATGGGTTTGACCTGCGTGAGACCACTTATGTGGATTTTTTATCTCTAAAGGCGGCACAGCGCTGTAACTGTCTTCCTTGGGATTTTCCTTTTTCTAGCTTGCTTTATTGTAAGAATACAGGATCCATACAACATACAAAATGTGTGTTAATCCAGCTTTTATGTTATCAGTCAGATGCCCATCACGTTGTTCAGGGTCACTGGCTACCTCAGCACCCCTTGAGGCAGCTTATCAGCATATAATGTGGACTGGAGGCCGCTGCCACTCCCGGCTCAGTAACTCTTGCCGGGCCCTCCCCTCCCAGCTGGTTTCCTCCTCTGCAGGATTGAGACTATGCCAGAAAACATACCTGTCTTACCGGTATGTTGTAAGCATCAGATGAGAAGTTAGCGTGTAGTAAGTGTTAACGCATTTCTTCCCCTAAAAGCCCTTTCTTGGGGCGCCTGGGTGGCTAAGTGGGTTAAGTGCCCATCTCTTGATTTTGGCTCAGGTCTTGATCTCGTGATCTGTGAAGATCGAGCCCCACATCTGGCTCTGCACTGAGCGTGGAGTCTGCTTGGGATTCTCTCTCTCCCTCTCTGTCTCTGTCCTGCCCTGCTCAAATGCACACACACACTGTCTTGTCTTTCTCAAAATAAACATTAGGGTGCTTGGGGGTCTCAGTCGGTTAAACGACCGACTTCGGCTCAGGTCATGATCTCACGGTTTGTGGGTTAGAGCCCAGGGTCGGGCTCTGTGCTGACAGCTCAGAGCCTGGGGCCTGTTTCGGATTCTGGGTCTCCCTCTCTCTCTCTGCCCCTCCCCCACTCACGCTCTGTCTCAAAAATAAATAAACATTAAAAAAAAATTTTTTTAAACAAAATAAATAAACTTTAAAAAAATAAAATAAAAGCCCTTTCCTCATGAAAGAGTTCCTGTTCCTGTTCCCAGTGCTGGCTCTGATTACCTGTGCCTCATGTCCGTTTGGCCGAGGTCCTTCTCTGGACCACCCGCGGGGTCTGCCTAGTTTAGACCACATCTCCCCTGGCAGTGGCTTATGCAAAGCACAGCGTCTTCTTACTTTATCCTTGGTTCCTTATCAGTTCGAACAAAAACAGCTGGCAACACTAAATAATTGAACCTGGGGAGGATTTTTCTGGACTAATGACAAAATCTATTAGCATTTTGGTTTTGCCAAAAATATTTTCCTCTGAAACTGCCTTCCTACTTGTCACCCCTGAAGGCCATTCTTGGCTCTGTGTCGTCCCTCTAACATACTTTTCTGTGGTCTGCAGAGTTGTGTGTGCACATGTGTGAAATTCTCAATTTGACAAATGGAATTCTGAGTACTTTTCGGGACAAATCAGACTGCCTCGAAGGAGCGCGAGCATGAGCACAAGGTGTTTTTCGAGTTTTGGGGGTATTAGGCACAACTGTCCTGCTAAGAATCCCAAGGTGCTGCCAGTTAAGATGATGAGAAACCCAAAGGCGCTCTTAGAAGTGAGCAGCGCGCCCGCTGACTCGGGGAGCTGTGAGCCTGGTGTGCTGAGCTTTTGTGCTGGCCTCTCGTGGGGGCCCCAGGGCAGTGCAACTTGACCCTGGGCTCTGTGTGGGGCCATAGGGACTGGCAGAGGGCCCTTGGTCACTGTAGAGGTAGGCGTGGTCATGGTCACTTGTGTCGGGAACTTCGGTGACCCTTCTGAAAACATGTATCAGGGGGCGCCTGGGTGTCTGGTCGGTTAATCGTCCGATTCTCAGTTTCAGCTTAGGTCATGAGCCTTACAACCGGCTCCACCCTGCTTGGGAATCTCCTTCTCTCTCTGCCCTTCCCCTGCTTGCGCTCTCTCTCTCTCTCTCTCTCTCTCTCTCTCTCTCAAATAAGTAAATAAATAAATAAACTTCAAAACATGGAAGTCAGAGTCAATGCTACAGAATAGCAGTTGGGGGTTTACAATGAGTTATACGCTAGTAATGTGAATTTGTTTTCCCCGAAAGCAGTTTAATACTAAAACGAAGGATGGGTTCACTGTGAACACGAAAGTTCCCAGCCTCAAAGATCAAGGGAAGGAATACGATGGATTCACAATCACGATTACGGGAGACAAGTACGTATGCTTCCTAAGCGTGGGCGTGAAGGCGGGCTGGTGTCAGGAAGTGCGCAAGCACCTGATTATTGCCACGGGAGGTCAGACCTACCAGACTTTTGCTTTATCCTGAAATGAAAATTGTCAAGGTCCAGTGTGCAGCTATAGCCAGTTATGTTTTTAACGTGACTTTTAGAGTATTACGCCAGCAGACATTCGACTGTGCTGCTATCTGACTACTTTCTAGATATTAAGTATAATGTCTAACGTGCTTTGTGGAAAGCATTCTTCTGGGTTCTTAAAGTTCCTTGTGGGCAACACTCTTAATGATAAAACGAAAAAAGATGACAGATTGGCAGATAGAAAGCCATTGTAAGATTTTTTTGGATATAGGTTTTAATGTATTATGAGATTAGTGCAGCCTTATTATGGAAAATTTAGAGGGGCGCCTGGATGGCTCAGTCGGTTAAGCGTCCGACTTCGGCTCAGGTCATGATCTCGCGGTTGGTGAGTTCAAGCCCCGCGTCGGGCTCTGTGCTGACAGCTCAGAGCCTGGAGCCTGTTTCCGATTCTGTGTCTCCCTCTCTCTCTCTCTGACCCTCCCCCATTCATGCTCTGTCTCTCTCTGTCTCAAAAATAAATAAACGTTAAAAAAAAATTTTAGAATGCACAGATAGACAAAGATAAAAAAGAAAATCATTAGGTTGTTTTCCTTAAAAACTGAGGTTGTACTCCACATTGTTTTATAACCTGCTTCTTTTCTACCCTTACCATTACCTGATCATGAACATTTTCTCATACTTTTGTAAGCATTTGTAGTGATTACAGAGTATTTCATTTTATGGATATTTTTGAGTTTCTCTCACTACTTTTCTGTTACTGACCATTTAGAGTGTTTCTCATTTTCACTTTATGAAATATAGCACTGCAATGACCATTTTCATTAACCAGTCTTACTTATATCTGAACTCCAAGCTTCACCTAGGAGCCTCCATATCCCTTGAATTTTGGGTGTACCCCCCCACCCATGTGCCACCCTCCCCCACAGCACAAGTAGATTCAAAACTGGTGTCTCCGTCCCCTGTCTCCTGGTGGCTCCCCACTGCAGACCCTCCACTGCCTGTGGATACTGAGACCACCTCCCCTGCCAGACACGAAAGGCCTTTTGTGATGCGGCCTCGAGCAACATTTCCTGCTTGAACTTGGCCTGCTGATTCAGCTGGGCTGCTTGTTCCCTGCGGTCACCTCCCACCCCCTGCTTCTGAGCCTCTCTCACTCCCGTCCTGATTTTCAAATTCAGGCCCCTTCCTCCATGAAGCATTTCCTGTTTTCGTCCATGTCTTTCCAAATTAGACCTAATCTCCCTCTTTTGAACCCTGACGAACTAGGTGATGCATATGGTCTTATAATAATTGATGGCCTCAGGGCTCTGTCCCTTTCCCAGTAAATGCAACAGCTGTGCTGTGTTCTTCTTTACAAGATCTAAGAACTGTTCAGTTATATGATAAACGCCTGTTGCCTCAACTTTCTATCCTCCGCAGTACCTGGCGTGTAGCCAGGTGTGCAGCAAAAGCTTGAAAAGACACCATGGAGTCCTTGAACTTCCTTGAACAGTGCTGGCTCCCGATCTTCAGTCATAATAGGGTGGCTGTCTGAGAAAATATTTACTATGCCCTCATTTTTACGATGTGTAGTTTCCTTCTATATTAGCTTAAGCTCCTGTAATAGGTACACATGGTTAGACTGAACAAAATATTGTATTTTGTGAAAAAATTGCATGCTTATGGAACACACCTCAATCTGGCTGTAGTTAGGTGGGATACACCCTCACAGACGTCTTGTGCCACATCGACCTACTGGTTCCTTCCTTTTTTTTTTTTTTTTTTTTTTTTTTTTTTTTTTTTTTTTTTTTTTTTTTTTTTTTGCTTTCTGTGTTTGGCTCTTTGAATTGTATGATACGTGCCTCTGACACACATTGTTGTATTTTTAGGGTTGGCAACATACTGTTTTCTGTGGAAACACAAACCACAGAAGAAAGAACACAATTATATCATGCCGAAATAGATGCACTTTATAAAGATCTAACAGCAAAAGGAAAAGTACTGATCCTTTCATCAGAATTTGGGGTAGGTTTTTGGCTTTTTGCTTTTTTCCATTTTATCCATGCTTCCTAGGATTCTTTTGTAACCTTTTTAAAGCCTCTACCCTTTCGCTGGTATTGTGCGTGCACCTTATGCTTGAGATCGGTTTTCGTTGATGACCTATAAATACTTCTTTTTAATATTCTTATGGAAACAATTACTGTATTTAGTAATGATAGTGACTGAGGAAGGGCAATGATACATTTATATAGTTGCTATAAGTCTGGGCTTTCTCAAGATTGAAGTGAACAAGTCGGTCCAGAGTGACAGCGGCCCATGCTGCACTCAGTGGGCCTTTCCTGGTCTGTGACCTCTTCCCTCCGGGTCCCACCCCAACTCGAGGGGTCTCCTTGGAGGCAGGATCTGGCCTGCCCCCTTGGTGATAGCAGCTACCGCTGTGCTGAGAGTGTCCGCATTCTGGAGTAGATATCCGTGGTCCTTGGGCAGTCGGTTCTTTTCTTGTGCACTCAATCAGTTCATACCTACAATTAAGCATTCAGGTTTTTACGTAATTAAGTGTATTTATTACCTACATCTCGGCACAGAGGGTGTGCCTGTCAGAATCTTGGGAAACCATCCTCAGCATTAATAAGCACTTTGTTTTGTTTAAATCTTAATATGTATTTTGACGTGTCAAGTAACATTAAAGGAGGCTGAGATTTTTATGTTTATCAGAAAAGGTTTCAGTTTTAACAACAGCTCAGAAAATATTGCTCTAAACCAAACTGTATACATACCCTTTCATTAGGAAGAAATGGTAACGGGCGCCTGGGTGGCTCAGTCGGTTAAGCGCCCGACTCTCGGTTTGGCTCAGGTCACGATCTCGCGGTTCATGAATTCAAGCCCCACGTCAGTCTCTGCACTGACCGCGGGGAGCCTGCTTGGGATTCTCTCTCCCTTTCTTTCTGCCCTTCCCCTGCTCACACACACACGCTCTCTCTCAAAATAAATAAATAAACTTAAAAGCATTTTTTTTTAATAAAAGGAAAAAATGGCAGCAGAGAGTATGAAGTATTCAAGAGTGGGAACGTAGGTTCCTGTAGGAGACGCATGAAATAACCCTTTCCTTGATGTAAATGATTCTTATGTCTTGTCACCTCGTAAAAAACTAGTGTATAATCTAGTATTTAAATTCATGAGCACATGTCTTTTTTTTTTTTTCCCCCCTAGGAAGCTGATGCTGTTTGCAACTTAATCTTATCCTTGGTTTATTACTTTTATAATTTAATGCCACTCTCTCGAGGATCCAGGTGAGTGATACCCTATAATTTAAAAATGTTTTTTTTTTTTTTAATTTTTTTTTTTCAA